ATGTCATCTATAATCTCCCTCTATTATTATTGATCATGGCCACCATCTTCCCTTTCTAGATAGGGACATACACATTACTCAAAATCTTCATCATTAAAGCATGTTGTACCGTTCCACAAGCTACATTCAAATAATTATCTTCACTATCTTATCACAACTCATAATTGTACTAATCACTTAGCCCTCGCATTGTGTTTTTAGAACCTTAATTCAAGAAAAATGTTTAATGCATCCAGTGAAGCAATTAAATTTACTACCTAGCAATTCATACTCATATCTTCTCTTCCACCACTACTCCATATCATTAACATTTATATCAAGTTTAAACTGCAAATATGATTGATTTGATGGTAATTTGAGTAAACAGAATCATGTGTCCTTTCCTTCCTCTCATACTAGTTGACATCATCCTATCGATATCGTCCACTTGGAAATTTAAGTTCTAGTATGGTCCAAAGTACCTTAAATTCATATATATTTTCACATTTATTAATAATTATTCTAGTGCTACTTGAGTCTATTGACTCAAATAGTTGGTTTGAAGACCTCAAATATTTCAAAGCTATTAAAAAGAAAAAAGATCTACCTCTCAACATTAATCAAACTTGCATGCTGACAACGCACTTGAATTTATTTACACTCAATCTCAAATCTTTTGCTATAATAATGATATTATTCATCAAAAACTTCTCTTTATGCATCCCAACAAAATAATATATCATAGTACAAAAAAGACTTGTTAACATGATGTTTCTCAAACTACAACATTTGACATGATTGTGCCTTAAAATTTCTATAGCGGCACAATCATGATTGCCTATTATCTTATCAATCATGTAGCTGTAACGGTAACACCGAAAAACTACCCTATTATGGCTTCTTCCCACTAGGCTAGCTCTTGTCACTTTCTGCTCCTGGTACAGCCTTTCCTGCTCCTCCTGAAGTAGGCTTAGTTGTAGTTGTCGTTGCTGGTGATGGCCTGAATGAGGATTGTTGCTTGAAGAATGTTTGTTGCTAGATATGCTTTTTTTTGCCTTTCAACCTTTAAAGCCAATGTTTGAGCATCCCAAAGTGACCCCTGAGGTTATAGTTGTACCAAGTTGCTAATAGGGGCTTCAGGCCCCCAAATATCATGCGATCTCCTGCACCTCTGACTCGATCAGTTCACACTTCATATGCAATTGATCAAATTGTGTGTTGAATTCCTCCACTGAAGGATCTCGCTCCTAAAAAACATGTCTTGGCGGTAGTAAGGTGGTAGATATTATTTCAGCAGTTCTTTCCTCAAATTCTCCCACCACTTGGAAATTTTATCATGGCTTTCTCTCTTCCTTTTCCTTTATAAATTCTCCCACCACAAGGAGACGCTCTTTTTCAACTTAATGGCGGCCAACTTTACTTGTACTTGTGTATCCTTTGGCACGTCTTTATATTCAAAAATTCACTCCACATGTAGTCAATTGACAAAACCATCTGGATCCATGACTCCATCAAACTCTGACAGATCCACTTTGATGTCAAAGACCTTGAGCCTCACAGATGTGGGCTCCTCTCATTGCCTCCCCTCGTATTGAATTCTGAAATAGCGCGATCGATATTCTTCATCGCCAGTGTCTTCTCTATGAACGTGTTCAGATATACATCCCAGTCGCCCCTTCGAGTTACTTGATAGCAGTCAAAGTTAATTTTACCTTGGTTCCATCATCCATCTCTACTAATCTCTGTTGCAGATGACGGATCTCCCGTTATATATCATCTCAAGTAGGGTTTAGTAAGTGTCTCCTCGAGGGAATGGTTGAAAATTTGAGACCTGCAAAAAAAACGTAAAAGAGAAAAAGAAAAAAAATGAAAAGATTGGAAGTAAAGAAAAAAAAGAAAGAGGGAAGCAAAAGAAAGAATGGGGGAGAGAAGAAAAAATGTGGCATACTCTCAGAAAGTATAGGATATGACTAGGGTTATGCTAGATCTAATATCAAATGATAGAGTTAACTAAACCCACAACTACAGACATATTTTATTAAATAAATAATGAAGGGTAAAATTGAGACTCAAAGCAATAAAGAAAAACAAAATAAAGACAAAACTAGCACAATCTGCGGCGACACTGAGGGTATTCGAGAAATTTCGGCGAGGAGCTAGGCGCGATTGGTGTCTGTCGACGAAGGGAGCAGCAAATGTTGGTGGATGTTGGAGGTGGAGGGCAGCAACAAGCGCGGGTGGCTGCTAGAAGGAGAGGCAGCTGGGTGGTGAGGTGGCAGACAACAGCTGCGGGTGGTTGTTAGGAGAGTCCAAAGAAGAACTGCAGCAGATTGCTGACTACAGGGGGTTTTGAAGTGGTCGATGGTTTGTCTAGAAGTGGGGGATGAGAGGCGGCAGCCGACTGGAGCTGCAGGAGGAAGCCGATTGTAGGTGAAGCCTGGAGGAGGGAACCGCGACACCCTGGGATGGTAGGAAAGAGAACCTGCAGTAGTCTGGTCTCATAGGTGAACTCTGTGGCGGACTAGAGGCTCTGCAAGCGACTGAGGCAATTTTAAAGTCACGGGAATTGGATAGCGGCAAATCGAGCGTGCAGATGATGACTACGGATTTTCTGGGAAACGTAGTAAGGAGGTAGCGATCTCTGGAAGCGAGGAATGGAGGCAACGGCACTTCTGGGAGCATATAATGGAACAAGTGAGTGCAAGAACGACAGAATGGTGGAGATAATCACCACATCAAATGAGTTACAGTCGGAGCACATTCATGTCGTCTGATACAACCCTCGAAAGAGGAACAAGCCGGCGGAGAACTCTGAATTTAGAAAGCAAATCAACCAACCCTAACCTAAACAATCACCACCCATATATAATATAGATTAGTAATTAGAAATATGTAATAATTAGAATAAAAAAGAAATTTGAAAAGGCAAGAATACAAAAGGCAAAAACTAGAAAGAATAGTAATGGAAAAGGAAGGGCAATAGGAGGAAACACGAAAAGGTAAGGGGGAATCATGTGGAGGTAAGGCCTATCCCATCTGTGGGTTAGCTGATCTAACAGGGCTAGACAGGGTAGGTCGGCTCAGCCGGCCTCCGTTCCCAGCCCCAGGTAAGTGTAATAAACTATATAAAGGCAAATACCTAAAAACTCCTGTTATTAATTTAAATACGTTGTATATCATATCTCAACATTTATATGATATGTTCCCTATTTGGTTTGTAATTTAATTGTTAAAAATGTTGCTTCAATCTATGTGTTTAGTGAGTAACAAATTAATATAATTAAAAATTCAATTAGTGCATACTTAGAAATATTATTCAGCTATCTTAAAGTGGTAATTGCTAGAGTTTGAAATGTTGAATTTTGAAATAAGTACAAATGCCACACTGCACAATTCAACCTTGGCCGATGAAATCTTAATAAAGGGACAAAACAGATACACACATGATAATTCATGGATATTTCTACAAGGAATCCGATAGCTATGCCGAAATCTATTGAAAGAACATTGATTTAAAAATTCACAAGAGTTCAACTTGTCAAGCCAAGTGTATTAATGTGCTGCGACTTCTGTCGCTTAACATAATATTTTCAACTCATTTTTGCTAATCTTCATTATTATTACTCCGATTCATGTGGATCTTTGGTTCTTTGGCAAAAGAGTGATATGATGGCCATGCATATTTTTCTTTTATGGTAGCCTAAATACTTCATTTTAATGATCTTCAGCAGCTAGCAAGATGTCTAGCAGATTTCGTGATTCTTTCTAATGTCTTTTGAAAGATCTTTATTCAAAAGAAGTCCAAATTATCACAAAACTTTTGGTGCACAATTTTTATTGGGTTTTGGAAGCTAATTCTTTTTATACACTGTTTGAGAATCCTTCTACTTCTCAACTTTTTGATGCATTTGAAAATTAAAAGATAAATTGCATTCTTCTTTTCTTTGTCTACTTCTATTTACATCCAACGCCTCCATGGGTTACCTAAATCTAGCACCATAAGCTATAAGAAATGACAATTTTGTGTTAAGCTGAATTTTTCTAGGCCTAACAAAATTAATCTAAATCTCAAGACTTGCAGTTTTCAAACGTGTAAGGTGTGTGATAGAAGAAAACAAATTAAGACAATGGTTCCTGTATATTTACATCATCATAAATTTTTATTTCTTTGCTTTCATTAAATAAAACATGTTCAATATTTCCTAATATGAGAATGGGTTACATTATCTTAGAATCTGCAGCTGTTTGAAGCAGTCATGAAACAGCTGCAGAAAAAATTTATGTTAAAAAATGTAGCTTCCCATCACATTTTTTTGAAGAAACAGGGCCAAATGCCACAAAGTGCAGTGCCGTGTGGCACCGCCCCCGCAATGCTGCTCTTAACACATTAACAAAACTTGAAGATGTTTTTCTATTTTGTTGGTCATGAGAATATCATTCATTTATAAGTTTTGTTCTTTTCTTCTCTTTTTCTTTTTTTCTTTTTTTTTGGGGGGTTCCATGCAGGTATCATGTAGGAGCTTTGTGGGAGAACAAATGTACAACCAGAACACTATTCCTGAAGTAGAATTATGCTCTAACTTTGTAGCAAGGTGATGTTGTTTTAGTTCTTTGCAGCAAAGAGTATAAGAGTTGCGTTGGTTTGGAGTTATCCAGAAAATCTATTTGTCTGATTTATTATTCTACGCTTATTTTGGCTTGTCCTGTATTAGGAGTAATCCTATAGCTTATCTATTGAGGATTTCAACAGCTTCAGTAGCTCACTAGCAGACTCTTCATTTTCAGATTACTTCAGAAATAAATTGAAGAGGATTTTGTGATTATAAAAAAAAAAATCAATTATTTCTAGATAAACTTCTATTAACTTATCTGTTTGTATGATTTTGTGAATATCATTATAGATTTAAACCAGCAAATCCTAGACCCTACAGCAGCCTACATCACCTATATAACAAGAAACTTGTAATTAGTAGTACATCTGGTAAAAAATGTTATAAACTTGTGGGGGAAAAAATCAAAACCTGGCATTTTTGGTAAAAAACCAAGTGACCGGCACAGGTCAACAGTTCTGCGACGTCTAGAAACAGCTGGAATCAATTTGCATATCTCATTCTCAGGGAAATCTGAATAAATATCAACGTGACCAAAAGTTGAAGAAGTGCATGAGCTTCTAATGAGTTGCCACTACTTGCATAAATGTCAAGGCTATCTAACTTTGGCTTCCAATAGTTAGCAACTGCCTTTGCTCGCTCTTTAATTTCATCCGTGAGCTTTTGCCCATTAGAAAGCGTCTCAGAATTCATTATTAAAGAACTTAGAGATTCCATCAGCATAAGGCAAGTTCTGCGTAAGCCCAGAAGGCCAGCATCCTTCTTTCCGTCTGATCCTAGAATTTCTCCTGAATAGAAGTTCTTCAAGGAATCCAACACCAGGCTAAATGGATTACTCGCAGCTTTTAACGAAATTGGGATCTCTTCACGAATTGAGGCAAGATTCTTTCGATTGTCCGAAATGAACTTGTGGAGCTGTTCTACATCCATCTTCTCACACAATTCTGCCAGCAGTGAATGAGGTTTTTCATCTAAGTAATTACTTTCCCCAGTTGCTTCATCATATAAATCAGATTTAATAACTGTAATATCTGATCCATCTTCAACACTGCTCTCGGGAGAACTATTAGTTGGAGTAAAATCAACTAATGCTGGTGGATAGTTCCGATATTTTTCAAATAAGGTAGACAGAGCAGCATCTCGTTTCTCTTGCAGCCTCTCTAGTGCGGCTTGTTCCTTGGCTACAACCACAGCTTCTCTCCTTTCTAGCATTTTTTCAGTCTCTGTTACTTTATTCAAATAGTCGTTTTCCTTGCTTTCCAACTCATCCGATCTTTTTTTCAGCGACTTTTCAAGCCCATGAAAATGTTGTTCCAGCTCCTTCCATTTCAAATTCAAAGTAACAGTACCATGGCTTTCAAGTTCAGTAAATACTTTCTTAAGTTGTTGTAACTTCGAGGTCGTAGAATCAATTAGTGAAGTAACAAATTGTGTGTCAGCCATTAAAGTAAGCCCTGCGTTGGGAAAACAAATTAACCATATAAACTACCATTCAATCTGAGCACAAGCAATACTAGATACCAAATGAATTTTGAAGGTAACAAAAAGGAAAACATCAAAAAAATCTAAGAGCGTAATGACCTCAACAAAACATAAAACAAGACACTAGTCGAACTTCAGTATCAGCTGCAAACATGTTCTGACAGAACTGATGTGCACATATGATTCATTGCTAATGCTGCCATTTACACAATTGCACGTGCCTCAGGTTTCCAACCTAAACTTTCATAATCCTAAAGTATATGCTGCTTTCATATAGCCACTTCAACACCGTATGGCATGCTTCTTAAAAAAAAGAATAAAAATGAACGCAGTCTATTGAAGAGAACAAGAATCTCAGCAATTTTTGCCGCCCCAATGACTGCCAGAATCATTACAAGGTGGAATGAATAACCATAATATTTCATGCCAAAAGAGCACACTTTATGCAGAGTAATAAAAAAGCTTGGGATAATTTTTATGTCTGTGACTGCTGAAACACGGGTACAAGAAAGTTGCATATTTGATTTAGTATGCATCTGTCAGAAAAAAAGGCTCCAGCCACAATAGTTCGCTTTGATAAAATCTGGCCATTCCAAACAGCCACCCTAAGGCCTTCAACAAGAACCCGTCTACGGTAACCAAATAAGAAGTGGGGCAAAAAATAATAATAATAAGATAGACAAGCAAATGAAGATCCCATAAGTACTCATATGAAATTTAAAATACCCACATAAAATGTTTTCAGGAGCATGCTTGATGTCATAAATTTGATCAGTTAGAACAACGAGGAAAAAAAACAACAAAATGAACTTGAAGATCAAGTGAAATTAAGTAGGGAAGGTTTCTGAAATTTTGTCAGTGGCATGTCACAATATCAAGTAAATGTAAGGTTCATAGCATAAATTAAAAGTTTATACCCACATTTTTTATCAATTGCTATTCATAAGGATCTGAGTTATCGAATCAACTATAATGCTTGTTAATTACTTCATTTACCAGTATTTTTAGTAAAAAAATAACATTATTTGACATTTTCCAGTATCAAGTCTTAAATTTCAATGCAATTCCCAAAATCTCTGAATGAGTTCATAAATGAAACAGAAGCCAAAACAAAGGGAAAAAATCACTTCAGACCACAGAAGAAGCTAGATGAGCATCATTCCATATTCATTTTTCATGGAAGCATTTGAAAAATGAAATTTCACTTTACATGTCGCATAATAGTAAAAATTAGATAAATAGACGACCCATTGCTTTTATTCATAGTGAAATATGGCCAAAATCCATTTTGAACTGAATACCCTCGCTTTGACTGTGGACTAATTATTTAAATTTACCTCGAATGACATAGGTTCAATTAAGGTTCAAAACAAGGTTTCAATCAGGTTAAAAATTTGTTCAAACCTTGAACAATACTCAATCAAGTTTCAAACACGCCATATTTGAATCCTGATCAAACAGAGTTTGAACAAGGATCAAACAGGATTCGAACAAAGGCTGCAAACTAGTTCCAAAGAAGTTCAAAATCAAACAGGGTTTTCATGGTTAGAATAAAGTTGAATCAAAGTTCAAACATTATTCAAATATGATTCAAATAGGGTTTACCTACAACAACTATAATAGAGTGTGTTGCCAGAAGCATACTATGGTTTATTAAAGGATAATATAATAGCTATGGCGCTGCAAAATATCAGACAGATTAAAAAAGCGTAAACCAACCAATAGCTATAATAAAGTAAACTTCAATCCAATATCCATTTCATAATATAGAATAATGCTAAAGCTACAACATATTAGAACAGCTACATCATATTAGAAAGTAATCACAACATCTAAGACCATAGAACTGAACAAAAAAGAATTAAAACAACAATATTTACAACATAATCATATACAATAAAGTGCTATACAAATTTACAAATGAACGTTGAAATAATAATGGTTATAGAATCATTCAATCATGTTTGAATAAATATATATACCTACATTATTGTGAAATAAGTCTACACATGCAATATTTGTATAACTATAAACAATCAAGTGCTTTGTAAGACAAAGATGTGTTAAATGCTTTGTAAGACAAAGATAGGTTGTGGAACAAGACATTTCTCCATGGATTGAAGAGGGTGAAGTGTGCATGGCCTTACCTGTTTGCGTAACTCAATAGCGAGATTCAAATCTTCATTCGGATCAAGAGTGACCTTCGTAAGTGGAGAGAACGTTGTAACGAGAACGTCAGCTAAAGCGAACTCTAAGACCTGAAGCGGGGCAGCAGACTCGATGGTAGAGGAATTAGGAGTCTCAACAAAGGATTCAGTACGACGAGTATAAACACCGAAAGGAAGTGGTGGTGGTGTTGGCCCAGTGGCAAATCCAGCGGTGTCGAAGGTGCACCGAGAACAATGATTGTAGGAGTAGAGAAAAAATCCACCAGAGTCAGAAAAGGAATAAGTCCAAAAATCAATCTCCCCCTCACTTGAGACAGCGTTAGAGAAGAAAGGGACCTTTTCAAAAAAAAAAAAAGTCGCCAACACTAAGTCGCCAACACTAACATAAATTTTAACATAAATTTTATTTGTGGTAGGATCAAACACAGATAACAGTTTTGACTGGCGGAATAGCCGAGGAAGATACATTTAATTGAGCGGGGATCAAGTTTACTAAGCATCGGGGCTGTGTTTCGAACAAACATCGTGCACCCAAGATTTTTTGGAAACTAACAAAAAAAAACAAATTGGTTGGTAATGGGATTTAAATGTTATGGATTTTTGTGGGAACTCTATTGATAAAGGTAGATAGCAGATATCCGAGAAATATTTGTTTGAAACATAATAGAAAGAGCAACTTCGAGAACGTGTCTATTGTTCTACTCGGTTCTCCCATTTTGTTGAGGGATATCAGTACAGGAACTATGATGGAGAATGCCCCTACTAACAATAAAGAATTATCCTAATATAGAGTTAAAATACTCAAGACCACTGTCGGACCGAAGGACTTGAAACTGTTTTTGAATTGGGTTAGAATGGAGTGGAAATATTTCAATATGACACCACCTTCGAATTTATCTTTTAATACATAAACTCAAAACATTCTAGTGTGTTCATCAATTAGAATAAGAAACATTAGTTTATTAGTATAGCTCTTCGAGAAGGTGTCTATTGTTCTACTCGGTTGTCCCGTTTTGTTGAGGGATATCAGTAAAGGAACCATGACGGAGAATGCCCCTACTAACAATAAAGAATTCTCCTAATATAGAGTTAAAATACTCAAGACCACTGTCAGACCGAAAGACTTGAAATTGCTTTTGAATTGGGTTAGAATGGAGTGGAATATTTCAATATGACACCAACTTCAAATTTATCTTTCAATACATAAACCCAAGACATTCTAGTGTGTTCATCAATTAGAATAAGGAACCGTCGTTTATTAGTATAGCTCGAAGTTCGAGAGGGTGCCCCTAATCACTATAATGAAAAATGGGGAGAATGAGTGTATGAATTGGGTAGATAAGATACATAAATATGAAATAACAAGAAATAAATAAAATCCTAATATAACTTCTATCAATTTATTAAAAAATTTCCAAGTTTTACATTAGCATATGGGATACTAGAATTTAATAAACATCTAAGGAAAAGAAAATATTATTATTGCTTCAAAATCTAAAATTATAGCAAAACAACAAAGAAAATTAAAAGTACAACAACGCACACTCAAGCTAGATTAGAATTTGAGTGGAGGTGGTGCGGCTAGGGGGTTTGGACCTCAGGGAAAGTGGCAAGAGGGTCGGCTAGCAAGCTCGAAGATGTCGACAGCAATGGAGGAGGCAACGACAAGAGAAAAGCGGCGAGCAGCAAGAACAACGGTGGGAGATGCTATTCAGGATGGCAACATCAAGGAAAACAGAAAAAGGTATGTGGGAATGTGCGAGAAACGTGTATGAAGAATAAACACTACCTGAAGCCCGATACAGCTGGAGCCCTACTTAGAACCCTAGGTTACAACCCATAAAGGGAACAAAGACATGCATGACTGTCCCAAAATAAATCACATCAAAAACCAAACACCAACAAAGTTGTGATGCTTCATTTCAATCTCCTCAAGGAAGTCGAAGGGGGAAAATGAAGCGAATAATTGGAAACACAAATGGGTATTTTAACCTATGAATCGTCGCCTATGGGGGAGACAAAGTGGAGATCAAGAGGCAGCACCAACCCTTACAACTTACCAGGTGAGTCGATAGACGTGAGATGAAAGCAGGAGGATCGACAGGCGCAAGCTAGGGATTCCCCATAGTTGAAGGCAGCAACAGCGATGGACGGAAACATTTTCAATTCGAACAGATGAGGCGACTTATGGGTAAGCAAATGGCTGAGGGTTGGCGACACTTTTGTCTTGAGATTAGAGGGTCAGACACCCACAAGAATTTTGGACAAAACCGATCTAGGTACAGATGTTGAAGTCAGTCTCCTAAAATGGGGAGAGCTTCGACCTTATCTGTCGAAACTTTTGTCTCCTTATAGTACAGAATTAGGCAGGTTACATTGAAGATAGCAAAAATATTGTAATATCTCGACATTGGAGGGCATTTGACTGCATCTTTAGAAGCACATGGACCCACTGTTAAACGCACTATCCTACAAAACATATATGAAGGTTTCTTGAAGTGCAAGTAACCATCTTTATATGTCCAAACATATGTGGATGCATTGTTGAACTAAAGTGAAATTTCGTGCCAAGCATACTCTATCGAGTCCTCCGAAAGTGGCTCAAGATTGACTCTTTACTCTCTAAAGTGAAGACAGGTTGAATCTCTTTAGAATCCTAATGATAAGTTATCGATCATGATATCCACAAAACTCTCTCTATAATGGATGCCCTGTATGTCTGATATGGGCTCTTCTATCTCCCTATCTTTTAACATCACCAAAACTGACCCTGTCGGTGCCTCTCATAATAAGAGCACCAATGA